TGTGTTCAAATCCCAGATGGGACTCCACCCAAGAAAGTACTAGAATTTGTACTCACAAAGAAAGTGCAAATCTAACATGGTACTCTTTCAGTTTGTTCAAGAATTAAATGAATGTCATTTGAAATACTTATAAAGTGATCTACCATCACAAGGCCAGTAGTAACTGACATTGTTCAAAGTTTCCCATGAAAGGTAAACATGGTAAAGGGTCCTTGTTTAAACCTTAATGCAGAAAGAGCCCCAGTAGCCCCTATTCAAAGACTGAAAGATCTGGTTGATTGTTAACTTAAGGCTGTCATATGAGCAGTCATGTATTAAGTTGCTTTAATGACATATACCGTCAATCTATCGGAGAACATGTTTGTTTGATTGTTGTTAAACGCCGCACTTCAGATTAGGTGGTCAGACTCACTCACTTGGTTGATACATGTTATTGTGTCCTATTACGTAGATTGATGCTCATGATGTCAATCACTGGATTGTCATGTCCAGACTCGATTATATATAGACAGCCGCTATATAGCTGGAATATTGCTGAGTGCGGCGTTAAACAACAGTCTGTTGTGGACATTAAGCAGTACATCTGCTAATCATGGACAAGAGCCAAGTCATCAAAGGTGGCAGGTTTTTACATCAAACAAAAAGTTAAGTTCCAATTTTGTGACAGGTGGCATTTGGCTCACTACAAAGGTGAGTAGACCCAGTGTTCTGCTATGACGAAAATGCACTGTCATCTTGATGCATGACGTCATCAATGGAGTGTGATTGGAAATCAAGAGAAATCTGTAAATGTCACACTTCTATATCGATTTCCTTAACAATTGGCACACTCATATAATGTATGAGATGACGTTTCTTATGGATGAACATTTTTTTAGTTGAAATATCTGAAAAGGTTGAGTACTGTTAATAATTAATATTGTAGGAAAATTTGTAATGTACATACTGCTTCTTGAGTGTTATGACAAATAAATAGTATGCTGGATTAAAAAAAATATTGACAGCATAAGGCTTATAACCCAACTGTAAAAGCCTTGAAACTGACACATTTTTTAAAAAGGCCTTGAATTTTAGTGTTTATATATCCGTTTGAACCTTGACAACCCATCAGGGGACAACACGGATTCATTAAAAGTACTGGTCCAACAGTAACTGTAAAACATTTTGACCTTATTTTATACTTTTATGTCACAAGACATCACTCCATTGAGATCTTGGGAGGATAAATGAATAATATGTCATATTTTACAGTTTGATTAAGGTTGGCAGGGATTTGCCTTGTGAAGTGCCGTGTTTAGTGGAGACCTGAACTTTCATACAGCTTTATGTTAGCACCTCTCACAGCACACAGTTGCTGTATCAGAAGCAAGAATGATACAAAAGTGAATACATTACTCAGACAGCTGGGGCTGTCAAAAAAGATCAATAATCAATTATTGATATGAAAATTGTGTCATCAATAATATCTTACATAAGCTATTTTGATGAAATGAAGTTTAAATTTACCAAAACAGACTTCTTATTGTCAAAAAGGTCAATTGCTGAAGTTAGAAAGTTCTGTTTTCATTATATCTCAAATGTCTGCAAAGTAATGCCTGCATATATGCGCCACCACTCACCAGTGAAGTGAAATGTGTTGATTTCTTTCGGAACTTTTTTGTGTATTTGGTCGAAGAAACTTCTCCGATATTTATCAATAACTGATCGATAGTTAGTTATCGATATCTCTGTGATCTGTATCGATAACCAGCCCATTCACGGTACACAGTTGCTGTATCAGAAGCAAGAATGATACAAAAGTGAATACAGCCATACATTACTGAAACAGCAAAATGATCAACAATTTGTACCCACCTATACCACAGCATGGGAGCATAGTCCTCACCAGGAGAGTACTTTGTGAGATCAGGAAGCACTGCGTGTGGTTAGTCCCGGTAATGCCACAACTTTGTGACGCAGCGATCACAAGTTGCATGTGATCATGTCATGGGAAGATGATTTAGGTTGACTTAATTGATCAGTCAATTTATCACTTTTTGTTATCCATGGCAACCGAGGATGGTGGTCTGCTGTCGTGGTGTTACTTTGCATCCTGGCATGTGATGGTGTCCCTCCCTCCCTGCCTCCCACCTGTATCAGGGCTCTGTCTGTCAGCAGGGCTGATCAATACGTCAGATTTATCACCCCACTCGACATTATTACAAGTCCTCCACACTTCTCTGTCCCGTTGTGTTGGTTGAGGCCATATAGTCTCGGTTCCTGATGGGGCCATGGGCATTAGCAACCTTAAATAGCCCGGAGAACATGATTGCAAGCATTTCATTCATTAATTCAGTATTGAGTGTTCGTAACAAAGAAATCTACAGTTCTGATAGCAGTTTTAGAAGGTAAAAGGTCTCCCGCATTTTATGTGATAAAAATTTAATTGCTATGATTACATTATGAACATTAGTATTGAAAGTGTATGTGAGGGGACGGTGTTGAGGACCATAGGTATATTGTAGATTGTGTGCAAATTGAATTGCCAACGTTGATCCCCACAAGGATGAATCTATGAATGAAACATTGACATGGATTGGATGTGTTCCTTTATGTAGTGGCCATCATGGAAGCATGGTTAGGTTGTTCGGTACACAAGGATGCTGAATAGAGTTGGTGAGTTAGATTCCAGATGATACGGTATTGATCTTTCTGTATTAGTGGACTACATTATCGTTGTTTGTCAAGGGTCATCACAGAATCAAAGAAAGGCAACATTTTCTCCTATCTCTTAGTGAATCCTTGTCCCCAGGGCCACAGATGGGTATTGGGTGGTTCTTGTTTTGATAAGTGGCAGAGCAAGCTGATAGCTTATCATAATTATGACTTGTGATGGTCGCTCGTCGTGCCGAAGATCGAGGTTCGATTACCCACATGGGTACAATGTTTGAAGCCAATTTTGCTCACACTCACTCACTCACTCACTCACTCACTCACTCACTCACTCACTCACTCACTCAGTATGACTTGTGCTTAACATGTTGAAATATGAAGCCAGATTCTACTCTGCTCACTGTCACAATGTTTTCATGCTTGCATGGACTTTGACTTGCGAATTGATGATCATTTTGGTGGAAGTAGAAGAAAATGCCTGCTGTCTTGGCATGATGCTTCATTTATCCTCAATGACTTCTAACAACTGTATTTCACAGCTGTTAGTTTTCACATGACTTTAATTCCATTTCAACATGTTCGAAGCTTTGTGGCCTTGAACTAGGTGTCCATTCACGGGTGGCATTCTGTCAGAACCTGTTGAGTGAGTATGGTTTTACGCTGCTTTTAGCAACATTGCAGCAATATCACAGTGAGATAGACCGGAAATGTCCTTCACACATTGTATCCATGTGGGGAATCGAAACCGGGCCTTCAGCGTGACAAGCGAACACTTTCGCCACAAGGCTACCGGACCGCCCCCAGATCCTGTTGATTACATCCATCAGCACATCCGATAATGTCATTGAACATGTTGTATGAATGATTCATCAATGTTTATTCAGCTGTTGTAAATTTTCTAATAGAAGTGTGTGGTTTCAAATCTATACAGAACTTCCACATATTCATCTTATGTAGTTGTGAATTCAGTGTTTCATAGGTCAGTACCTGTGGGGAGGCCCTGTTAGAATCAGTCTCCTAGGGCCAGTCTCGTTCCACAAAGCGATCCTAGCACCATAAGTCTATGGGAGTTACAATCACTTTAGCGCTACAAAGTCTTTGTGGCATGGGGCCTCAGCAGCCTGTTAGGTCAGAAGAAACTTAATGGATGGGGCTGTCAGGCAGTATGACTTGGGGGCGTTGACATGCTGTCAACCGAAGGTGTGGATTGATACTCATAATATCAATTGATTAGATCATCTGGGCCAGACACAATTATTAACATGCCGTCATATTGCTGGAGTATGGCAACAACACACTCACAGTTAGTAGCTTGTCGTACCCGCTTGACGCGTGATGTCTGGCCCTGACTTGATATTTACAGGCTGCAATGAAATAGCTGGAATATTGCTGACGGAGGCTTAAGCAGCCCCATTCGAACATAAACGTCAGCAGGTAACTGTGATTTTATGAAGTGAATGATTTCATAGTTTTTATTGCTTTTGACTTTTGACTTTGCATTTTTAATACTGGTAGCCAGTCTGTAGTCATGCAACTAGGAAACAGTGAGGTCTTGTGTAGATGTCACTGTGTTATTGTTGCTATAGAAACAAGGGAAGCAATCCTTCCATGTCAGCTGTCATCTGGCATGGCCACCGCTTACTTCACTTACATCAAAACATCCTTTAGTTCATTGTCCTGTGGCAGTGACCAAACCCGACTGTTGATCCTCTGAATGCTGTTGGTGGAATACCACGGATTATTTCCTTAAGTCGATTATCAAATCGCAACCTGTATATGTTACACTCAATGTGTAAAATTTTCACATATTTAATTTACAAAATGCCACAATATTTCAGACATTTTACCATTATTTTTTCATTTATTATGTAATGACAGAATTCAAAACATTTTTATGCTCTATTTCATTACCCACGATTAAAAGAAAATGAAGGTCGTGTTTATTTTTATGTTTTCTTTTGCTTCTAATGCTACCATTATTAATCTGTTGTGATGATTTTTAAGCCCTTTTGATCAACTTAATAACTTTTACTCAATCTGCCTGAATTTATTTTATAAAATTACTGAAATATTTTGGCGTTTTGTAAATTGCCCAATTGAAAGTTTCAGTCACTTTCCACTTTGACTGACTTTACATATTTACAGTAACGCAGACACTACTCGAAAGAGGTTAAAAAACTCCTGATAATTTCATATTACTGCAGTTAATCCATCATGGCGAAAGAAGAGGTATATATGAACCAGTTGAGCACAGCCTCAGCTTGATGCTCCAGTACGTTTCCTTCTTCGTCTGTTTCCATGATAATGCAACATACATTGATTAATCAATTTATATTGTGTGTTTCCAGATGCTGATGGACCCGATGGGTGGGATCGTTATGACCAACGATGGAAATGCCATTCTTCGTGAGGTAAGCACTTCATGTGGAACATCAGCTCCTATCACCACCTGTAGACATTGTTTGAAATTTGATGGTTATCACACGCATGTGTCATAATACAAGTACATCAAGATTATTTTTCCTCTTCATGTTGAAAAATGTCTTTCAGCATGGATTTTGGCTTTTTATTTTTTTATGCTGGCAAGAGTTTGTGTAAACATGCCAGCTGACTGATATGATGGATAAGTTTTACAACCTAAAATATGACTGCTGGCAATACGACACATTATACATATGTAGAAGAGCACACACTTGTAAGTGTGAAACATGTTCCATGTGTGTGTATTGAACGGCTTTCCATATTTGAATTATTCATGTCGTGCAACAGCCGTCTGCAAGGAAGATTTACAATAATTGTGAATTAGTGAGTTTGGTTGCCATGTTATTTAGTTTATAACAGACCCATTGGCAATCCAGTTGGTTGTAAGAGGCCCCCTATTGAATCGCTTCAAGTATTGAAGGGAAACTGATTCCTTCCACAGAACGGGGGTGAACACGAGGTGACTATACTTGTTGTAAGAGGCAACTAATGTGGTTGGATCACAATTACTTGGTCATGAATGTTCCATTGGCCATTTGCCCCAACCCATGCTTGCTGTTAGAGGCTACTAACGGGATCACATCCCAATTGTGTGGCTCGATGCTCATGTCAGTCACTGGATTGTGTGGTCCAGACAATTATTTTTCATACCGCCGTCATATAGCTGGAATATTTATGAGTGTGGCGTTAAACACCAAAAAAACCCCCCAAAAACGAGCTAAAAGTCACCTGGACAGCAACTCATTTCAGACCAGCTTTTGATGTTAATTTTCTTTTCTCTTGGACTGAACTGTGATCCCTCACATAGTCGCAAGTAAGGCATGACCAGGGGCCATGTCAAACCACACAATAGCTCCCCACAGTATTCAGTGTGTCATTGTAGTCCTCTTGCACGAAGGTAGACCCATTTCCTTCTGAACCACATACTCCTACCTTCAGTGCATAGCAAGCACCTTTCTTCACAAGAGGGTTGCTACATTGAGGCCATTAGGCTTCAGGGAGATGTCTGAAACCCTGTTTATTCCATGTCTGTTTCACACATTCTATTTCATTATATGATTGGGAGATAATACTATGTACATTCCAGTTTATGCAATAGATCATCCAGGAGATGTTGTACTGTTGAATTGAAAGCAGCATTTAAGAAATTAGTGTTAATGGAAAACATCTGTCTCACCCGTGGAGATCCTGGGTAGAATAGGTCTTCAGCAACCCATGCTTGTTGTAAGAGGCAGCTAACGGGATCAGGCTTGCTGACTTGGTTGATGCATGTCACCGTATCCCAATTGCGTGGATCGATGCTCATGATGTCAGTCACTGGGTTGTCTGTTCCAAACTCGATTACTAAGACCGGTGTCATATAGCTGGAATATTGCTGAGTGTGGCGTTAAATAACAAACCAACAAACAAACAATAAATGACCATCTGATTCTTACATATTACTATAGTTAATAAGTAAAATCAACTTTAGTAATATACATGATATAAAAGAATCGTGTGGTCCTTAACTTCTTTTGAGTAATATAATACAGACCTTATGGACATAGTTTGGGACATTTGTGTTTGGTATAATTTGTTTACAAGAAATTTGACAAACACAAATAGCATTGCTTGCTAGTAAACATTTAGTAGGTTCAGAGGATGTAAATGTCGTGGTGTAACAGTCGAATCTGGCAATTCTGTCATCATGGCAATATTACACAACCTTGCGTGATGATGAACTGTTTCGAAAGAAGACTGTTGAATATTTCTTGTAAGTAGTCATCTGCAAGTGGCTGGCCGGAACCCAGGTGGTCATGTATAAACACCTGATTCTTGTAAGTGGCCTGTTTGGAAGCAATATCTGTAGCTGAAAACAGGGTCTGGTATTGAATTTCAGATAATTTTCCAATTACTGGGAACAGTGTCTGACAATGTTTCTATTTATGGGTTGGGTAGAGGTGCAAGTGTTCTTTGATTATAGTGAATCGGTTTCATTGCCGTAGATTTGATAACAGTAGATTTTGATCAATGGGCAGACGAGTGATTGTTTTATGCTGAAGTCAGCAATATTACAGCCGCGTTACAATATTTTATGAGTAATCAACTCTCGGGACAGGCTGACCAGTTGTTGCAAGTATGAGCAATACTCATCAGGGTAAGATGATTCACAGTGATGCCGTTACTCTGAGACAAGTGGAACTTCGGAGGCACCAGTTGTTTTCTACCCAAATCAGTTGGAAATAAGGTGTTGACTTATAGCATTTGGTGAAGGTATCTAGTAGATAATCTACCCTGAAAGAGAGGAGAATGTGCTTGTTTTGAGAGGTGATTAACGTAATTGGTCGGTTGACTTGGTTCATGCATGTCATTGTATCCCCATTTCGTAGATTGATGCCCATTATGTCAATCACTGTATTGTCTGGTCCAGACTCGATTATTTACAAAGCACAGTCATATAAGGTGGAATATTGCTGAGTGGCATTAAACAGCGAACAAAGAAAACCAAACTCCTGAAAGAAACAGGTCACACGTTAAACCACCAGATAGTCAGTTTAGTTTTCACAAAGCAAGGTTCTTAGGAGATGCTCTGCACCAGAATCCCTTTGGTGTTCAGTATAGAAATGGACAAAAGCCTTCAGATGATATAAAGGGGATTTTCAAGACAGTATCTCAATTATGCAGGCCAGGGTGTGCAGCTTCTATGAATGCTTGATGCAGGGAGCAGATGGAATCAATGAAGGATGAGGTGACATGTGACATTCATCTGTGAGTTAGCGGGGGTTGGCATTATGAAGTGCTCATAAAATCACTGCTTTGGGCTAGTTATTGTGTTGAAAAAGGATCTGAAAATAAAATCCATGAATATCTTATTGTATAAATTAGAGTTTTGTTGGTTTTGGATTAAGATTTTATGGTGAGACATATTCCACAGTGAAGTATCAATATCCATTTGAATCCGTTTTAGGAAAGTTTATTAGATTTTCAAACAAGTAAACATTTAGTTTTTGAGATCGAATATTTTCAAAAACATAAATCAGACATGAGCCTGCCAGGAACCTCATATGTTTTGAGAGTGTTAGAGATAAAGTGTTCACATTGTGACAAGTGCACATGAGTGTCCAGAAGAAATTGTCCTTGTCAAGTAGCCCATGGAGCTGTTGGAGTTGTGGGGTAGCCAAGTGGTTGAGGGAACTCTCCCATCATGCCATCTTTGGGTCGACTCATTGGTTCCATGTGTAAAGTCCATGCTGGTTTCCCTTGCTTCCAGAGTCTCTTGAATAAAGCTTAACCTCACTCACTCACTCACTCACTCACTCACTCACTCACTCACTCACTCACTCACTCACTCACTCACTCACTCACTCACTCACTCACTCACTCTTGACCCTTGACCCTTGACCCTTGACCCTTGAAGATCTGGGGGAGAATAGGTCTTCAGCAGCCCATGCTACCGTAAATGGTGACTATGGTTGATGCATTGTATGCCAATTGCGTGGATCGATGCTCATTATGTCAATCACTGTATTGTATGGTCCAGACTCGATTATTTACAGACCGCCGTTATACAGCTGGAGTTTTGCCGAGTACCGCGTTAAATAACAAACAATAACAAATCACTCACTCACTCATGTTCAATGAAATGATTATGAAACACATACAAAGGGAAGTAACTCCACCTTGCCTGTTTCAGATCAATGTCCAGCACCCAGCCGCCAAGTCTATGATTGAAGTGGCCCGGACACAAGATGAAGAGACAGGAGACGGAACCAAGTCAGTCATCATCCTTGGTGAGTTGTCCATGGTGTTTGCTGTTGCAACTCAGCTGGTCCAATGTAACAATGAAGTGGCAGTAAAATCTACAGTTTATGTTAAGAAATATTTTTAACTATTGTTTTGAAAATACAATCAGTGGACACTTCTCTCTGTGTGTAGATCCCTAATATATAGAATGTGTACAGAAAGTGTTATTCAAATGTTAGCTGGAAATGAAATTTTACAACATTTATTACAAGATATTTATGCAGTAACAAAGATTCTTTATTTGTTTGAATTTTAGCTGGCGAGGTGTTGTCAGTTGCTCATCCCTTCCTGCAACAACAAATGCACCCAACTGTGATTATAGCTGCATTCAGGCAGGCCCTCGAGGACATGTTGGAGATTCTACATAACAAAATCAGGTGGGTCTGAGTAAATGTTTCAGGAAGAATTGCCAGTGACGGTTTCCTCGTGCTCCATAACGGGAATTTACTTTCATTGGTCTTGTCTCCTGTGGGTGGTCGGGTAGGCTAGTGGTTAAAGCGTTTGTTCGTCACGCCGAAGACCCGGGTTCGAATCCCGACATGGGTACAATGTGTGAAGCCCATTTCTGGTGTCCCCCGCCGTGATATTGCTGGAATATTTCTAAAAGCGGCGTAAAACCAAACTCACTCACTCACTCACTCTTGTCTCCTGTGTGGACTCCTTGGCATCAGCACACCATGCTTATTGGGAGTCTGTTGTGTGACTGGTCCGATGGGGTTCATAGTCCCCAATACTGGTGGTTGTCACATAAAATACATTCAGTGATATTCCGTATTCAATAATATGTGCCCACGGTGATATTTGCTAATATATTGGCTTGTGAACAATCCCAATTAGCACCCCTTCCGATTGATCAATGTACACAAGACTTATTTATTTGCGTATAATACGCTCTCGAGTGTTATGTGCACCTTAATTATGGGCAATTAATTAAATTCTGGAAAAATATATCTGTCGTATATAAACATTTCAGGCTGTCAGCATAAACCATGATATTATCTTTCAACTGTTTTTTTTCACCAAAATAATATCCTTATAAGAGCCCCCTATTTCTTGTTTTGAGAGCGCCCTGGGTGCTTATTACGTTGAATACAGTAACTGATGAGTATGGTGATGGTGATGATTGTTGCCCAGCCCTTTATTGGGATACTGGTGGTTGTCACATGAATACATTCAGTGATATAACTGATGAGGATCATGATGAATTGCTCGTTGTAAGACGGATTCTGTGTTAGAATTTGTACCCAGCAACCTGTGCTGGTTGTAAGAGTCATCTGTAATGATTGGATGATCAGACTCTGTGACTGGATTGTCTGGTCCAGCCAGATTCAATTATTTCAGTCACATAGCTTGTGTGGTGCTGAGTGCGTCGTTAAGCAACTAACACACACATCATTAGAAACAATGTTCTCCCAAACACAACATAAGTTCAATTATTCACCAAGTCTTAGTCAGTTATCCACCTCCTATCATTGATAAGCACTATATTTTATCCTTACGATGTACAATATTTGTGTGATTCAGTGTACCCGTCGACACATCAGATAGAGAACAGATGCTGAAGATTGTCAAGAGCTGTCTAGGAACAAAGTTCATCAGTAAATGGTAACAACAACAACAACAACAATTTCTCTGTTAGCGTGATGCAAGAGAGCATTATTACAGTGGGAGTTGTACTCCTCACCAATAATGTTGATTGTTCTATGCCAAGATTCATGGGAACAAAAATGTTTGGTCATTGTTCAGGCTCTTGTTTTATTTTCCTGCAAAAAAATCTTGAAATAAACATGCTAAAGGACGACTTATTTCTTGACCATACTTAAATCTTTTACTATTGTCTGTATAACAAGAAATTTTTGTCCTAATGAAAATAGTTTTGTTAACTTAATCATTGTTAAGAATTTGACATAATAAACTTTGAACAACTCTTTTCCAGTTAAATATGTTAAGCCAGTCTTTGTTACTGTGCATTAATGTTTGGACTATCTATTCTCTTACAGGATGGACTTGGCCTGTCAAATAGCCCTGGACGCCACACAGACTGTTGCCTTGGAAGAAAATGGGCGGAAAGAGATTGATATTAAGAGATACGCAAAAGTAGAAAAGGTACATCTAAAGGCATTAATAAATCTTTTATGTTTTCATCCCAACCCTTCTCTCTTCAAATGTTCAGAAAGATAGTCGTCACTTGATTTATGATCACATTGTTTTCAAGAATAGTATTCTTTTTTAGCAATGTTAACTTTACGAATGGAAGTTTCAGTGAAACTGAAGTTTTTATCCACACAGGATATAATGCAGGGGAGATAAAGTCACTACCTTGTCTGTCCGTCCGTCCCTCTGTACATCAGTTCGTAATCATTTAGTTTCCTGAGCTCAACTCGAAAACCTTTAAATAGCTTTCAACAAAAATTGGCAGATGTATCATACAGATCCAAAAGTAGTGCCTTTTGATGCTTGCAGAATTTTGACATTTTTATTTTTATCGATTTTCATTGAAACCATTTGGACTCAACATGTATTACAAAGGGCTGAAGTGATGCCTTTTGCTATTTAGGTATTTTTAAAGATGTGTTTTTTCATTGTTTCCATGGAAACAAGTTAGATTTAACAGAAATTGAGGTAGGTGTTCATGGTGTTGTTTCTGGAGCAGAACTAAAAACTATTCAACCTTTTTCATCTAAATTTGGGACATGTATTAATCAGGGGCTGAAGTGGTGTCTTTTGCTATTTAGGAATTTAAAAAATAATAATTTGTTTTTGCCTGTTTCTATGGCAACAAGTTTGACATGACTCTGTTCATAGTGGTGTGTTTGTCCAAACTACATCACTAGAACTAATAGGTATTCTTTAATGACACTTTACCCACACGACGACCAGTTTGTCAAAAGGTGCTTTTTGCTACTAAGGGGTGTTTAGATTTTAGATTTTTCTTGTTTCCATGGCAACAGGTTTGACTTTGACTCTGTTCATGTTGTTGTGTAAATGACATAGAAATACAAGGTTCCAAATCCCAATTCTATGGTATTGTCTTGATAGCTCAATAATTAATCTTGTATACAGACAGACAGATAGACATTCTCTCATCAAGTTGGACTTCAAGTAACAGTCAGATAATTTGTTCTTTCGACTTTGTGAGGGCCAGGGGGAAATGTCATCTTCTGATGACTCTCCTTTGTTACCAGTAGTTTATTTATTCTGCATATGTATGTATATATATGTATCCTAATATTATGATGTATTATTTCAGATCCCTGGTGGTTTAATGGAGGAGTCTAAAGTGTTAAATGGAATTATGGTGAACAAAGATGTTGTCCATCCAAAAATGAAAAGGTACAGTTTATTTTTCATTGTTCCAGCGTAGCTTGTGGTCGGTGTATGTGTGGAAATGAGAGTGCTTGCAATTGTCATGACTGGTGGTTTCAAGGTGTGCCGCAGTGCTGAGACAGCTTTGTGGAATGGGGCCCTGGCAACGAAGACAGCTGTATAACTCCCATACCTTACATTGACTTGTAATAGCCACAGTGCTGAGACAGCTTTGTGGAATGGGGCCCTGGCAACGAAGACAGATGTATAACTCCCATACCTTACATTGACTTGTAATAGCCACAGTGCTGAGACTGCTTTGTGGAATGGGGCCCTGGCAACGAAGACAGATGTATAACTCCCATACCTTACATTGACTTGTAATAGCCGCAGTGCTGGGACTGCTTTGTGGAATGGGGCCCTGGCAACGAAGACAGATGTATAACTAACTCCCTGAAAGTTCCTTGCGACGGTTGATTGACGGCCACTATGTTGCCCCAAAGTCAGAATAGCTCTAGAGTACTTGTAAAGTGTATAAGATTGTTGATCTTATGGCCTCAAAGATGCCTAGGTGTGGGGAGCCTTGTCATTTAAGTGTTTTCTCATTGTGATGACCCATTTATGATTCTCACATGGCTACAGTGTGTAAACTCCGTTCCTGGCATCACTTGTATGGCTGGCTGACAGCGCCACTCACTCATCCTGCTTGTAACAGCTGTCTGTATAGAAGCCATGCAACTCAATCTCATGACATTTATTAACATTCTTCATTGATTTTCAGGAGAATAGAAAACCCAAGAATAGTTCTACTTGACTGCAATTTAGAATACAAGAAAGGAGAAAGTGTGGTAAGTGTCAGTGTTAGCAGTACAACCGAGAGTGACCCCGCTGGAACATCAGGACTAAACATACATTGCAGTCGGCTTGACAGTAAAGTCGTACATTGAAGGCTGATTTATTTCAGTGTACAAGTACATGATTGCTGACATGTATTTATTTACTTTTGTTGATGTAAATGTAACTTCAGTGCTATTACTTTTTCGTGTAATTTTTAAAGGGTCCTGATTCATTACTAATCCATTCTGATTTGTTTTCAGACAAACATTGAAATAACAAAGGAAGAGGATTTTGTGTGAGTGTTTGCTATTGATTCCACACAGATTGTGTCCCCCTGTATCTGATTCTTGTGAAATAGACATTGGATGTCAAGATGGCTGCATATAAAACCTTATCCTACTTAATGAGTGACTATCACAGAAGCCCAATCCCTGGCTGGGCCTAAAATCGAAGTCCTTATTGAAACATTTATGGTCATAAAAGTGAATGATAATTTCCATGATGATATAACTAAAATATTCCAGACTGTGATTTGATATCAAGCTAAAACAATGTACTGTTCTGTGAAGATCAGGGTAAGAATTTGTCTACAGCAACCCATGCCTGTCGTAAGAGGCGACTAACGGGATCAGGTGGTCAGACTCGCTGACTTGGTTGATGTATGTCATCGTAACCCCATTCCGTAAATCGATTCTCATCATATCAATCCCTGGGTTATTTCGCCCTGACACAATTATTTACAGCCCATTGTCATATACCTGCTATATTGCTGTGTGTGGAATAACACAACAGTGTGATGAATCAATGAAATCTCCCCATCTTCCCCCATGTTGCCTCCTGCCAATGTTGTCCCGTGTGTTGACAGCAAGATGCTGCAGCTGGAGGAGGAGTTTGTGAAGAAGGCGTGTGACGAGGTGCTGGCGGTCAAACCTGACCTGGTCATCACAGAGAAGGGGGTGTCCGATCTGGCACAGCACTTCTTTGTCAAGGCAGGGGTCAGTGTCATCCGGAGAGTGAGGAAGACGGACAACAACAGGATAGCAAGGTAGCAGTGTGTTCATGTCTGCAGAATGGTGGAGGTGTTGGCGTGGAAGCTGGTGTGGGTGATGTGTTGTCTGTGAGCAAAAAGTGTCCAAAATATACACCATTTTTATATACATTTTTGAGAGGTCTCTTTAGCTCAAACTTGTATCACTGTTGGGTAGTGTGTATTTAATTCAGTGAGACAAACCTTTCCTAATGAGACATAGGGCAGTAGTTCAATGTCCTAGCTGCTAGATTTGGTTCTGAACAGCAGCAGGCTAGCTGTAGGCATGCAACAAGGAAACAGTGAGGTCTTGTGTAGATGTTTTACTGTGTAATTGTTGCTATAGAAACAAGGGAAGCAATCCTTCCATGTCAGCCGTCATCTGGCATGGCCATCGCTTACTTCACTTACATGTTTTTCTTGTATCTGTTTCACATTTAGTTATTAGGGAATAAGTCTTTGTACAGTGTTAGGTTTGATATGTCTGGGTATACAGTGATCCCTTAGTGCAATAGTATGTGTTGGTATGGTAAACACTTTGTTTTATGACAAGACTTTGAGATTGGCCTTAGGATTTGTCCAGTAGGCCTGTTAGAGTTATGTCCCTTGGATTGTGGCTGCAGTGTGATACCAAACTAGTAGGTCCGGAAACTTAGTATGATTTCACTGGGTATGTTTTTTTGTTGCTGATTACCAATATGGCCAAGTTGACAGGTTTCACTGTGCATTAGTAAGTAGAACATCATATAAGTGAAATACATCTTCGACTCGATGAAGATCCGGAGTAGAATCGGTCTTCACCAACCCTTGCCTCCTGTAACAGGCCACTCTGATTGTCGTACAGGATCAGGTGGTCAGCTTGCTGACTTGGTTGATAAATGTCATTGTGTCCCAATTGCGTGGATCAATGCTCATGATGTCAATCACTGGATTGTCTGGTCCAGACTCGATTATTTACAGACTGCCGTCATATAGCTGGAATATTGCTGAATGTGGCATAAACAACAAACGAACAGAACAACAGCTTGTGCAATGTCCTTGTTTAAGTGCCAGTTGTCTACTCATGGCATGCCGTTAAGGGTACAGTGTGGTGTTACAGGGCATGTGGAGCAGTCATTGCTAACCGAACTGATGAACTGAAGGAGGAAGATGTTGGGACAGGCTGTGGCTTGTTCGAGATACAAAAGATTGGTGATGAGTAAGTATTGCTGACATTTCCCCTTTGCAACTAAAGACATATAGTGATCTGTGAATGAGACAATTACCTGAGGAATCGACACTGTGTTTGCAGACTTGAAGACACAAAGTTTGAGTGAAACTTCAGTATAATTTTGAAAGAATGTGGTCCTTTTCTTCTTTGTTGCATTTGCCGTCCAATGGGCCTTGTACTGTCATATTAGTATGTTAAACTGGGTGACTGCTTGTTGCCCCAGTGGGATGGATTGTTGCCCCAGTGGGATGGATTGTTGCCCCAGTGGGATGGATTGTTGCTTATGCATTTAATGAAAGCAACTGTTGGTTCGTCTTGTGCAGCCAGTAATAAAGCTGCAATAATGCTGGATGGTGAAACACAAGGTAGACCTAATCAAGTTCCCCTCTGCATCACTAGTTTTCAGGGGCGGTGGGGTAGCCTAGTGGTTAAAGCGTTCGCTCGTCATGCAGAAGACACAGGTTCGATTCCCCACATGGATACAATGTGTGAAGCCCATTTTCCGGTTTCCCCATCCGTGATATTGCTGGAATATTGCTAAAAGCGGCATAAAACTGTACTCACTCTCCAAGTTTCGTCTCTCCTCCGTTCTCCGTAATTGGAGCATTCATGGATGGCAATGGTATAGGTTACTGAACACTTTGTGTCAGGAAAGTAGTATCCATGGAGAGTACCAAGGGTGTCAGAGTCTATCTGCTCTGCCTCTCATACACCCTCCCACACCAACAGCCGGCACATCAGCTACAGGCGAGGACTGCCTCGTCCTGGGATTGATGGCCGGCTTACAGTACTGTTATTAATGTCAGTAGTCTCAAGTCCGATCTAGTTCTATCTTGGACCATTTCTAATGAGAAATGGTTGGTACTGTGCACATTGTATTGGTAATCCTATCTTTGTCAATTTATTTGTTTTTGGGAAATTTGATTCTCTTTCATTCTATAACAGTACTAGCAAACCCTGGTGTCTTCCGGTAACATTGTAATACATTTCTTGGGGCGGTCGGGTAGCATAGTGGTTAAAGCGTTCACTGGACATGCCAAAGACCCGGGTTCGATTCCCAACATGGGTACAATGTGAAGCCCATTTCCCTGTGTCCCCCGCCATGATATTGCTAAAATATTGCTAAAAGAGGCGTAGAACCATGCTCGCTCACTAATACATTTATGAGCATGTAAGTTGCTTAACTGCTTCTTAGAAAGCAGATATGAACAGACTGCAGATTTAGCATGTTAGATCTGGCAGTCTCATAGCATCCCAAACTTCCAAGACATCAAGACAATCCTTTCATCACATTCATAATGACCATCCTGAACAAGCCATCATCTCCCGTCCTCTTTTGGACTTGTTCAACTGTCTCTGACGTTTACATGTCTACTGCAGTATCTTTATGGTAATCATGGTAGTTACAGTATGTAGATAATAAAGTAGAAAAAAAGTACTGGGGCGTGTTCTAACAATGTGCAGAAACAACTTTTGACATTATCCAAAGTACAATTTCATGTTAATCATGACTCCGGAGAGTACCAAGGGTGTCAGAGCCTATCAGCTCTGCCTCTCATACACTCTCCCACACCAACAGCCGGCACATCAGCTACAGGCGAGGACTGCCTCGTCCTGGGATTGATGGCCGGCTTACAGAATAATCTAAACCTGAATTACATCTCAAAGTTTTTCACAACTGACAGGTGAAGTTGCTAGATGTCCCTGGTATGTTTCAAAGGGTGTTCATTAATTAGCTTTGTTGGTTGGTTGTATTGAGATCTTTACTTTCATGCCTAGTAGGTTGTCACCAACTGTAGGACATTGTGGGTGGGATTGTTGCTTATGTTATCAATCATTGACGTCATCCTATTGTTCTCATAAACAGGGATGTTATAATATCACCGGAATTTTATATAATATCCCCAGGTTTTTATCAATACAACAGTTATATTGTAATATGAATGTTTGTCCCTAGAAATTTATTTTGCATTTACAACAATGTAATGAAATGTAAAAACAATTGACAAATCTAACACGCATGCTTCGTATTTGTTGCCCCGTGGGCATACCACAAGGCTACAGATGCGCTGATAAATCCCACCAAGAGATATTTGTAAGTTAGATAAAACATGGAAGCTTGTTTTTTTTTATGAGATTTAGAACCCTCATCCTCGAAATCGGGTTTTAAATCCCATAAAACCCTCTGATGTGTTTTTTCTTTCAAATAATGTCACTGTTTGTTTAGTCATATGCAGACTGTAATATAGCTGTAATCATGATAATATAGCTGGTTGATATAAAACAGCACAGACCTAATCACGTTCCCCTCTGCATCACTAAGTTTGGTCTCTCCCCCGTTCTCCGTAATCGGATCCTCCATGGATGGCTTACTGAACACTTTCTGTCAGGAAAGTAGTATCCATGGAGAGTACCAAGGGTGTCAGAGTCTATCTGCTCTGCCTCTCATACACTCTCCCACACCAACAGCCGGCACATCAGCTACAGGCGAGGACTGCCTCGTCCTGGGATTGATGGCCGGCTTACAGTACTGTCAGAGTTGCACGTTATTATATGTATGTAAAGTGTTTAGCCCATGCCAACAGCAAGACTGTTGTTTCAGCTACTTCACATTCTTGACGGAGTGCAAGGAACCAAAGGCCTGCACCATCCTGCTGCGTGGCGCCAGTAAGGACATCTTGCATGAAGTTGAGCGCAATCTACAGGATGCCATGAATGTAGCCCGGAATGTCCTCCTAGACCCCACCCTGGCCCCGGGGGGTGGCGCCACGGAAATGGCGCTCGCACAGGTACGTCTCAAACTACTGATTAAAAGCAGCTAATCACTTTGAAATTAGTGAAAAATTCAAGGAGCCATGTAGTCAAACTGAAAGGGCTGGAGTAATGTATTATGTTAATTGTTTGTGAATTCTAATGGAGGGACTACACACCCAGATCTGTTTGTAGTGTATCTTGTGTTCAAATAACTCAAAATCTCGGTGTTATTTGTGTGATCATTAAATGTTTGATATACAAGCCCAGTCTCCGTGTTGGAGTGACATCTTATCAGGGGTAGCACCATTGGTCATCAAATCCAACGTGTCCGCAGCCTATTCAGGCTTGTGGTTATGTAAAATAACCAGATTGACTTGTCCTAGATTTCCACTGGTCTCAGACGAATAGATTATTGACTGTGTCTATCCCTGCTAATGTTTTCTTCGTGTATTCTTCATGTGTGAACTGTGATACATGACGATACTTCTCGTCCCCCAGGCTCTGAATGAAAAAGCAAAGAGCATCACAGGGGTTCACCAGTGGCCATACCGGGCAATCTCTCGTGCTCTGGAGGTGACACCAAGGACTCTCATCCAGAACTGTGGGGCCAATACCATCAGAACTATCACAGCTCTCAGGGTAAGCTTACTGTTGTCATTCACATCTACAGTGGTTAATGGCTTGTTATTGGCATGACCAGAAATACAACTGTTAAAAATAACAAGTGGTTATTATAACGATAGAATATCTATTTGTAAATGATTTAATATGTTGGTTCACAGGGATATAAGAAACTCTTTCATGCACTTAGCAACACTTTTTGCCCCCAAATCCTGCCTACAGAACACCTAAATATTTATTTTTTCTTCAGCTTTGAAAATTCTTCTATTTATATTTGACTTTATCATCTTGATCATGTTGATCATGAAAGATTCTGATCTTGTTATTTATTGTTTTAAATGTCATACGGAACTGTGATAGTAACATGAATGTTCAAGCAAAGTCACACACAGACCTTGTTACTCCTTGTTCCTCCTCCAGGCGAAGCATGCAAAGGGCGACAGTGTGACCTGGGGTATTGATGGTGAGACAGGCGCCATCGTCGACATGAAGCAGTTCGGTGTGTGGGAACCAGTCACTGTCAAGATGCAAGTGTTCAAGACAGCAATTGAGGTAGGGGATGCCAATGTGACTCCTTGCTGCTGTAGTAAAGTAGGGGTGATCGGATAGCCTAGTGGTTAAGGCGTTTGCTCGTCAAGTCAAAGAACCCGGTTTGATTCCCGACAAGGGTACAATGTGTGAAGCCCATTCCGTGATGTCACAGGGCATTGTTTCGCCGGTGTGACTGGCAACAAAATACTACAAATTATGTCATAGGATATTGTCACGTGTTTGAAAAGTTTGTGGTACTGTATTCTAAAGGTGCTCCTAAAGTGGTGTAAAAACTCACTCACTCACTCACTCACTCACTCACTCACTCACTCACTCACTGTAGTAAAGTACATCAGCTTCTGTTTGGGATTACTACTAATGAATGAACATTGGGGACTACCTTTGTCTGACCGTTGGGATTCAGGGTTAGAATAGGTCCCCTGCAACCTATCCTAGTCATATGAGGCAACCAAATGGATAGGATTAGGTCATATTCGGTGACTAAGTTCTTTGCATATCATCGTACCCTGTCCTGTGATTAATATTCCGAGAAACGACCCATGCCGTTGGGGTGTGATGACACATCATCAACCTGAACCGTGTGACCACCTGGTCCATCATTGCGTGGCCTCTTCAGCATAGGTTCCTGGAGACCAATTCCACCCTGAAATCCCCATGGGACTCGTGTGATCTGAATAGTGTTAAAAATGTCTCTGAACCCAATTCACTCCCTCACTCACTGTTTTTGTAAATCTTTCTTGTAGACGGCTGTTCTACTGTTGAGGATTGACGACATTGTGTCAGGAGTAAAGAAACAGGGAGGTGATGCAGCAGCTGCCGCCCAGGCCGCTGCTCCCCAGGCATCGGAGGGCCCCGAGCCCTGAACCCCACCCTACTCCCACCTTCCATAACAGCTCCACCTAACCCGGAATCAACAAGGTTGTCATCAGTGTCGCGACATCAACATTTCTCCACCAGTGTACAACAGCAGCTCTTCAAGATTTAACAATGTGAACTACAAGATTTTCTAGCCTGAATTCATCACTATTTAATCAAGCAGAAACATTTAGCAATAAGGTGGAAATGTTTATTTTCCTCTGGTGAAAGACTCAAGAATCTGAAATGAGGAGTGTTAACATGGATGAATAAGCTCTACGAACAATGTCTCCATCATAATATGCCGTTTCATAATTTATGCCATCATCAATTTTTCAGTCTGTTGCACAGGTCCATACTGGCTTGTGTCTGTGGCATTTGAGCATCCAAATGCAATTACCAGTCCATGCAACATCGCCTTTGTCCAATTTCATTATCTTTTCATGTCTGTTATTTACAGTTTGATGTCTCAGCATGCCAAATGCCAGGAATACTGGAATTGTACTGTATGAAATTTCCTACTCTGTTCTTGACTGTATCCACCTGCAATATGCTGGCTATGGGGAAATGTAATGAGCAATCTGAAGTGGGTTGTAATAATGTATTTATCTTGATCACCAGTTGTCACTAGAGAAAAGTTCTACCTTCCCGTGGTTGCCATGGCGTCACTTACCGCCAGGTTTCCATGTCAACCACTGGATGAAGTGTGCTGTATTGTTTATTTCTTGCTTTCATCATGTCAAGTGCTATTCTATTGGTTATTATTGCCCGGGTCTCAGCGGAAACATTGTCTCGGGCTGTACTTGTTTTTGTATACAAAGCGAAAAACAATGGAATAAACCAAAAATGTTCTATCAGTATTTAGTTTTGTCATGAATGGTGCCAGGAAGAGGGAATAGATCATTAGATAATTTGGGGTGAAATGTGAAAATATTTCTTGATTTCTCTAAATTTATTTCAGATATCATTAAATGATTGTCATATCTGAAATAAATTCAAGATGTCTTGAAAAATAGCTATACATATCCACAAATGCATTACCGATACATTAATGTGATTTAGATATCTTTAATTCTATTAGAGACATCTTTTAATCTTACCGTTACTGATATCAAAAATCAAATTAAAGATATTAATAATTTTGAAGATATCTTAAATTGTATTGTAGATATCTACATCATATGTATTGTAGATAACTTCAGTTCCATTCAAGATATCTTTAATTCAATTCACGATATCTTTAAAACAATTCAAGATATCAGTAATTCCGTAATAAATATAAAAACGTCTTGCCATACAATGACCCGTGCTGTCTGAGGACCATGATAGCAATCAACAAAACCAACGAGCCTGAAATAAGCGACCAAATCATTTAGACTCTTCTGAAAAACAAGAGTCTCGTTTCTAACCTGGGTGACATGAACGTTTAATGGTGATTGGGTGGTCACAATGCCTGCTTATATGTATAGGTCTTGCTCAGACTGACCACCAAACATTGGCGTTGGTGAATGGGTCCACACGACAGTACTCTTGATCTATACTGTGATGACTCCCAGTAGAGAAACATGAAATCAAACTGCCGTGTCCTTGTAAGCTGACCTGTTTTTGATTCTGGGTTAGAATTGGCCCCCAGCTTCCACTGATGGACATTTCATTGATTAAAGGGGACTTCATTGATCGGGTTGTCAGACTTTGTGGCTTGCCCGAATGTTTGTCATGGAGGCGACTGCTTGTCATAAGAGACGACTAACGGGAGCGGGTGGTCAGGCTGGCTGACTTGGTTGATGCAGGTCATCGTATTCTAATTGGGTGGATTGATGCTCATGATGTCAATCACTGGATTGTCTTGTTCAGACTTGATTATTTACAGACTGCTGTCATATAGCTGGAATATTGCTGAGTGCAGCGTTAAAAAAGAAACAAACCGATGTTTTTCATCATTTCCTGACCGTTGATCGTTCCTCATAATATCAATCTCTGGATTGTCTGATCCACATTCAATTATTTACATGCTGCTGCCATATATGAGTAATATTGTGGGGAAGAGCATTGTGCTGAAACATCGCCCGGTCCTGTCAGAGCTGGACAATGTGATGACCTAAGATCCCACCAGTAGGCACACCTGTCAAGTCGCCCGTATATATTAAAAGGGCTGTTTTTCGTCCATAAGAGATTGCTCACCAAATCATGGCACCACCTGGAAGGAATCTATTGACTTCTTGTACATCTGGTAAAAGGCTCGTCGTTCCGTCCATTATACATACGGATGGGCCCGTCCCTCCTCCGAAGAAATAACCGACATTCGTGACTAAACCTAAGGCTGCGCCAACTTTGAGGAAGCCACCATAAAGTAGTCAACACCACTTCATTGAGAAAATATGTTGATAACAAACACCTTGTAACTGATGCTTGTGATTCACCAGCCTCATGGCTTCAAATAGCGTTATTTCTCGCATTATGATTGAGTCTTGGGATGACGAGTTTAAAATCACTTGGTTAATGGAGTAATTTGTGAAAGCGATGTGTCAGACTTGCCAACGAAACCCGTGCCAAGTTAGATGAAAACTGCCTTTCAATTTCAGAAGAACGAATCATGCACAAGTTCTGACATCGGAGAAAAGGAACGCATCCACCTTATTTACATGTAGCAGTTTGCGTGCGCCTGTGCGTGTGCGTGTGCGTGTGCGTGTGCGTGTGCGTGCGTATAATGTGAAGTGATGTCCTTAGGAAAGTACAGATTCTCGTACTTTTTTGGATAGAGTCCCATCCGGGAGTCGAACCCACACTGCCAGAGAGAGGCACCTGATCGCCAGCACACAACGTATAGATCTAACCCACTCAGCCACCGAGGCTTCCATAAAAATGTAAGTCCGACAACTGGTGGTACAGATCACGGCTCCCATGGCCGAAAGCTATGAACACACAATACCATTTCAGAAAGTGGTCAAATGTAACAAATGTTATATTTAGGATAACACTGCCTCACTCTGGCAGTGTGGGTTCGAATCCCGGATTCTCATACTTATGTAGGTTGAGTCCCATCCGGAATTTGAACCCACACTGTCCGGGTGAGGCACCTAAACAAAAAGCAGGAGAATCTGTACATGAAAGTGTTATCTTACAAATTGCCATTCCCACTTTCAATATGTCTTCTTGGCCATGACACATTTCCTTGAAAATATTCTGCAAGATTTACTGATCATTTGATGGATGTGAGTTTGCATCCGTGATTACACTTTATGGACACTTAAGAAGGCGTCTTGCCTTCGGATCAGTTAACCCAATGTCGGCATGTGACGTGGACCTGAAGATAACCAACACCAGTCCAAGAGAGATCCACCAATTCCACGCATGCTGTCCTTTATTATGTTATCGTTAAGCCTGGTTGGGTATAAAGAAACGCGGTCTGAATGGAAAAGACTCCTATTCATCAAGTTCACAGAATGTTTGATAGGTTGGTCATCCCATGGAAGCACGACGCCACACACAGAATTGTCTCGGTATATCTGGAACACTCTTGAGAACACATTATGCGTCTGTGCGTTGCTGGACTAAAGCCTTCAGCGCTTCAGGTCCCTTTATAGAATTTTTTTTCCCAACGTTACACAGAACATTATTTCGGTGACTTGTATGTAAGTCTTTTCCTCCTCGTTCGTCCCTTTTCCTGAAGTCAATAGAGGCGAATTTAGGACCAGCATCATGCTATTGGCATCACATTTTCCCTGATTTTTCCCTGTTGTGCATACTTTGACTGTCCTCAACGAATGGCGTTTACCCGTGAAGATCCGGGTTAGAATAGGTCTTCAGCAACCCATGCTAACTGTAAAAAGTTACTATGCTTGTCTGATTTGGTTGATAAATGTCATCGTATTCCAGCTGCGTGGATCGATGCTCATGATGTCAATCACTGGATTGTCTGGTCCAGATTTGATTATTTACAGACCGCTGTCATATAGCTGGAATATTGCTGAGTGCGGCGTTAAACAACAAACAAACCTACACCTGCGATCGCTGTACGTTACCGATACCTCAAGAAACCATTCCCAAACGAACACATGTTCATTGGGAAGAGAAACGCTGTCCAGGACCCTGCATGTTGGCCATCACAGAAGCACGGGTACTGCCATGATATCCCAGTGAAGTGGTCTGCTTTTATTATCAATGACTTAACCTATTGATTCAGTCTGTCTCCTAGAACCTGGAGAATATACTAAATGACGAATCCAGCTCAAGTCTAGACTGATTTGACAAGTCTAGATTGCTTCAGCTCTAGGAAAACTTTGCTCAGGACTCGATTTGGATTTCATTTTGTACTTTGTAGATTTATATTTTTAAATATAATACCTTTATTTCTGGGACTAAGTGTTATTCTACCCCTGCTATTGATTTCCGTTTTGACCTTTACTGAGTATGTTTTATATTAAATATTTGCTATTTAACATACTGTTTTAATGTCATTTGGTAACAGGACTTGCTCAAGAACCTGTTCCGATATAGCATTTGTGCAGTCAGATTAGCTTCCAAAACGACCAGATCTGTTTTGACGTCACCTAGGCCCTATTCTCTGGTATCAGTGGTGGGTAAGTCTTTGAAAGGAATTTGGCTACTTGATGGTTATTGAACGATATCAGATCATCGATACACCTGAAGCGTAAGTTAAACTTTCTGGACATAATGCCTTGTTTGGATTTTGCCAATCAGAGCCGAAATTTCGATTCGTATACAGAAAGAAACAGACCAGCAAGAAGGGGAGCCATGGGCTACTTCTTGCCTAAATGTCTTGCCCCAATGTTTTGATAGATGTTATCAACAAGCAAGTCCAGTATTTCACATATTGTCTTCTCAGTAACCTTCTGAAGACACTTGCTTTCATATTTGACAAATCACACTTAACCACTGAAGATATATACTCAACAACAAAAGTTCCTGTGACACCAATATTTTAGTATATGTATGGAATCAAGTCACAAAAACGCAACTGCTACAGAAAAGCATGCATTCCATGCAAAAGTTGACTTTTATGCAAGTATCATAGGCAGTTTGGCAGGGTATATAGGTTTTAACAGGGAGTCTATATATTTTAACAGGGAGTGTATATACGTTTTATATATTCCCTTAATTAAGTAAGTTGATTATATCTATTTAAATAAACAGAGTGCTGCTAATACAAATTATAACAGCAGCTGGGGTATCATTACCATGGCCAGCAGCACAGAGTCATGTGCGGGTCAGCTGGTTGTAGTTAATGCCAGAGAATGGCCGGTTGGCCACTGAAGCTTAACTTTGTGGATGAGGTGCGGGATACTGCAGGCTGACCATGTATGTAACGTAACACGATATACATGGCAGTCTGACAGTGAGGGTTAAAGATAGTACGCTTTCTGTTAGTCGGGACTTGACCCTCGGACAGCGGCTAGGCAGGTTGGCTCTATTACGCCTCAGAGATCCTGCTTGGCCATACTACTATGTAGTTATATAGATATAGTAAGATCAAGAATAAACGTTGTGGACCCACAGACGGACTTGTGTGTTGTAATAAGAGAATTATCCGGTAGAGCACCAACGTCTACCTAGGATATATTGGTGGAAAATCCGGGTACCTCAAACCCAAAGCAACAAGATAAAGAAGCTAGTCAACACAAAGTGAATCGTTATTTCGTCTGGGGTCCACAACAATCACGACAACAACCAACAACCAGCATTCTGGTTCGTCTATCATCAAGCTATTCTGTGCTCATCATTATTGTCATCATTGTTCTTACTCGGAGATATTGTTACCATCCTAAAAGGCCAACCCCTTAAGCCGTCCCGGGGACCAGCAACTTTTCCAGGATACAACAGAAAAAGAACCCCGGAT